TCAATGTGTGCATAATCCTTATAAGCCTCAGGTCAGCAGTCACCTCCCCCAGGAATCCTTAGTTGGTTCCCCAGTTGCCCTCACAAACACTTGCAGATCACTCTGCCACTCTTTTTAAAGTTGCTGTCTGTTTTTGTATCTTTCTTCTCCCACCAGATTGTGAGCTGCCCAGGGATAGTCACTGAGCCCTGCTTACCTTTGGGCAATCAATTTCTCTCTCCCAGTGCCTCTTGGGACGGTGTCTCACCCTGAGTTATGCAAGAGGCACTAAGCAAACTACTGGAGTGTAGATGCTTGAGCTTCTCTGGCCCCCCTCCCTCTCCAGCTTGCTGTGGGTGCTGGGAGAAGGAGGCCAAACTGAGCAACCGTCCAGGATTTCTCTTCAGCCTTACTCAGTGTCCTTGCCCATGCTTCCCCTCCCCGCTTTTTAAAAATCCCTGCAAAGGAGTCCTATTCTCATCTTTTTTCTTGCATCAGCTCTCAAAGGAAGATCAGGAAGAATTTGAATGCCCATTAGAACAGAATTCAAGTAATTAATAATAGAAACACACTTCTTGGAGTCCTCAATAGGCAGAAACACAGATACCTAAGCTGAAAAGGAACGCAGATGTTGGCATTTCTTGCTGGGCTTGGCTCTTCCAATCAGAACTGACCCAGTGATTCTTGCTCAGTAAGCACAGAAAAAGGCCAAGCAAGACACAACAAAACAGAAAATGAGTTGGATTTTCCTATCAAGACAGGCTGAACTTTTTGAGTCTTTACGTGTTTACTTTTCAGTGCTTTTAGAGAGTATTTGTTATAATGAATAATAAATGAAGCTAAAGTTGTTGTTGAGACAGATTTTGAATGAGGACTTAATGAGATGCTAGGCAGAGCTAGCTGCTGCTAAGAATGGTACAGTCTGATCACCATCTTTCACTTATTATTTAATGAGATGCTATTGTTTGCACAGTATCATGCAAAGAAGCATAACCCCTTGTCCTTGCTCAAAAGGGACTTGGAAACTAGGGGTGTAGAGGAAATACACACAAATCAAAAGTTAAACAAATGGAAGCCTATGAAACAAGAGGTGTTCAAAATGTAGAACAGGGAGTAGTCATTTTGAGACCTGAGAAGGGAGAGACATTGTAGGCCGTGGAGTCGGTGCACAAAGTACAGAGAGATGAGTACTTACAGTGTGGCCCTAAATGATCTGGCTAATGGGGAGGGTTTGGGTTCGAGGAAATGAGATTGGAAATGCTAGTGGAAGCCTATGAATTGAGGATTAAAAGTGAGTTTCAACTGTTAAGCCACTGCTTCGCAAACTTGACTGCAAATTAGAATCTCTGAGAAACTTTAAAAATATTGATGTCTGGGTCCTACACCCAAAGATTCTGATTTAATTGGCCTGGGAATCAAGGGTTTTTAAAGTTTCCAGATGACTTTAATATGCTGTCAGCTTGAGAACTCTGTTAGGCTATAGTGGTTTTCAACCCTGACTGAATATTAGAATCAACCAGGGGAATTGTTAAACCAATGCCAAACGTGACATATAAAATAGGAGAAAATATTTGCAAATCACATATCTTGATAAGGAACTTGTATCAAAAATATGTAAAGAACTCTGATAACTCAACACTAACGAGACAACCCAGGTAAGTGGGCAAATGATCTAAATAGACATTTCTCTAAAAAGGATATACAAATAGCTAATAAGTACATGAAAAAAATGCTCAAATCATTAGGGAAATGCAAATCAAACCACAATGAGATACCACTTCATAACTCTAGGATGGCTATAATAAAAAAGATGGACAACAACAAGTGTTGGCAAGGATGTGGAGAAATTGGAACCCTTATACACTGCTGGTGGGGCTGTAAAATGGTGCAGTTGTTTTAGGAAGCAGTTTGGCAGTTCCTTAACAAGTTAAATACAAAGTTACCATAATGACCCAGCAATGCCACTCCAGGTGTACACCCAAGAGAATTGAGAACATTCGTCCACACAAAAACTTGTACATGAGGCTTCCCTGGTGGCGCAGTGGTTGAGAGTCCGCCTGCCGATGCAGGGCACACGGGTTCGTGCCCCGGTCCGGGAAGATCCCACATGCCGCGGAGCGGGTAGGCCCATGAGCCATGGCCGCTGAGCCTGCGCGTCCGGAGCCTGTGCTCCGCAACGGTAGAGGCCACAACAGTGAGAGGCCCGCGTACCGCAAAAAAAAAAAAAAAAAAAAAAAAAAAAACTTGTACATGAATATTCATAGCAGCATTATTCACAATAGCCAACAAGTGAAAGCAACTAATGAATGAAGAAACAAAATGTGGTATATCCATACAATGGGATATTATTTGGCCATGAAAAGGAATGAAGTTCTGATACATTTACAACATAGATGAACCTTGACAACATTCTGCTAAGTGAAAGAAGCTAGATACAAAAGGCAACAAAAAACTAAAAATAGAACTACCATACGACCCAGCAATCCCACTACTGGGCATATACCCTGAGAAAACCATAATTCTAAAAGAGTCATGTACCACAATGTTCATTGCAGCTCTATTTACAATAGCCAGGACATGGAAGCAACCTAAGTGTCCACTGACAGATGAATGGATAAAGAAGATATGGCACATATATACAATGGAATATTACTCAGCCATAAAAAGAAGTGAAATTGAGTTATTTGTAGTGAGGTGGGTGGACCTAGAGTCTGTCATACAGAGTGAAGTAAGTCAGAAAGCGAAAAACAAATTCTGTATGCTAACGCATATATATGGAATCTAAAAAAAGAAAAGGTCATGAAGAACCTAGGGGCAGCATGGGAATAAAGACTCAGACCTACTAGAGAAAGGACTTGAGGACACGGGGAGGGGTAAGGGTAAGCTGGGACAAAGTGAGAGAGTGGCATGTACATATATATGTACACTACCAAATGTAAAACCGATAGCTAGTGGGAAGCAGCCGCATAGCGTAGGGAGATCAGCTTGGTGCTTTGTGACCACCTAGAAGGTTGGGATAGGAAGGGTGGGAGGGAGAGAGATGCAAGAGGGAGGAGATATGGGAATATATGTATGTGTATAGCTGATTCACTTTGTTATAAAGCAGAAACTAGCACACCATTGTAAAGCAATTATACTCCAATGAAGATGTTAAAAAAAAAAAGGCAACATATTGATGATCCCATTTATATGAAATGTCCAGAATAGGCAAATCCATAGAGGTAGAAAATAGATTCGTGATTGCCAGGGGCTGGAAAAAAGAAGGAATGGGGAGGGGGCTGCTAATGGGTATGGGATTCTTTTGGCGGGTAATGAAATATTCTGGAATCAGAGAGTGGTGATCCGTTCACAGCTTTGTGAATGTAATAAAAAGCCACTGAACTTTATTTTGGTGGCCTCTCCCGTTGTGGAGCGCAGGCTCAGCGGCCATGGCTCACGGGCCCAGCCGCTCCGCGGCATGTGAGATCTTCCTGGACCTGGGCACGAACCCGCGTCCCCTGCATCGGCAGGCGGACTCTCAACCACTGCGCCACCAGGGAAGCCTAAGCCACTGAACTTTTAAAGATTACTTTAAAAGGGTGAACTTTAAAAAAAGGGTGAGCTTTATGGTACATGAATTATATCTTAATAAGTTGTTATAAAAAAAATGAAAAGAATCGATCCCTCTCTCCACCAGCATAGACCAGTTAAATCAGAATTTTTGGGAATGGGACCTAGGCACAGGTTCTTGATATACAGCTAGCATTGAGAACTATGTAAAAGATGAAAAGCCATTAGTGATTTAGTTCTATGCAGCTCCGTTTTCTCCAAAGCAAAAACAAAATATTTGAGTACATGGATTCAAATCCAGGTTAAATTGTAAATTTCATTTTAATAGATTATTTGAACCTTTAGTATGGGTATGGGGGGTATTGCTTCAAATAACCCTTAAAAAAAATGTGAACAGGCAGACAATTGTTAGTATACCTAAAAACAATAGTAAAAATGTTTTTTGTTTGTATTGAATTTTTAATCAAAGACACAAAGTGATTTATTGTTTTAAAGAAATTTTGGAGAGTGTTGGTTGCAAAGTCGATTCTCAGTGCTTAAGTGGCCCATTGCTCAGGTGGTTGTAGTTTACTTGGGTTTTAGTCCTTGCTTTGCTCACCATCTGCTCAGTGATATTAGACAGACCATCCAATGTTTCTAGGCCTCGCACAGTCACTACAAGAAAAGGGAATATATTGTCATGTGCTAGGGAATGGGGTATAGTGGGAAAAAAACAGGATAGAATAGATATGTTCTCTTCCATCATGCAGATTTCGGGTTCTTTGCTTTAAAAGTGAAGAGATTGAACTAGGTGGTCTCCAGATTCTTTGATCCTTTACTAGGATAGCATAAAGGTAGAAGATGGGCTAGAGAAAGAACTCTTGTGGGCCTCTTGGGCCTCTTCCATCTTCTGTGATTTAAAGAAACAAATATGCAAACTTCCTGACAAGGCTGTTTTCAGAATTTGCTATGGAGGATAAATTAAATTCTTTGGATTACATTTTTCTTACCTCTTTATCCTACTCTTGGAACAGCCAATAAAAAAAGTCAAAATGTTTCAAAACATTTAAATTCCTTCACAAAAGGCTGAATCACAACTTAAAATACAAATCTATTTGTTTATGTCAGGTGTTAAAAGCCATTTCCAAGTAAAACACTCAATTAGAAAATTAATTGAGCATGATTAACATGATAGGAACCTCAGCACAGATTCAAAAATTCCAAATGCATAGCTGTGATGTTCAATGCCAACAGAAGGCCACGTTCTGCCTTCCAGGTGAAAACATACTCCACTGTTCCATTCAAAGGAGGATGAAAATAATATCAAAATGTAAACTCTCAGGATAACTATCATCCAAAGAGCTCCTGCATCTTCATCTACCAAGAGAAATCCTTTGCTGGAGATCTGTTTATTTTGTTAACTAATATATCTTGACTTCAGAAAAAAAGTCCTTATATTCTTGTTCTAAGCAAATGATTTTTTCCCCATCCAGAAAACAAGATTTTGGTGAATCAGTCGCCCATGCTTGTGGTAAACAACAATGAGGTCAACCTCAGCTGCAAGTATACCTACAACCTCTTCTCGAAGGAGTTCCGGGCATCCCTTTATAAGGGAGTAGATAGTGCTGTGGAGGTCTGTGCTGTGAATGGAAATCACTCCAAGTCACTTCAGTCTACAAATAAGGAATTCAACTGCACTGTGAACTTGGGCAACGAAACAGTGACATTCTACCTCCAGGATTTGTACGTTAACCAAACGGATATTTATTTCTGCAAAATCGAAGTTCTGTATCCTCCTCCTTACATAGACAATGAGAAGAGTAATGGGACCATTATCCATGTGAAAGGTAACGCACGGCTCGACCAGTGTCCACTCTCAAGTAGTGGTTTTCAACTGCAGTCTTGAAAACTAGGTCATGATCAGTGGTGGGGTTGGCTAACTCCCAAAGAGGACAGACCAACGAGGAAGTCTACACCTCTTAAGCCAGTGATACTTTGCATATTTTGATTCCTCTCACATTCTCCTCTAGGAAGAAGGAAGGAAATGTACCCAAGTACCATTCCCATATCATTTAATCTAATCTATTCTGTTTTTCAGAGAAACATCTTTGTCCAGCTCCCCGGTCTCCTGAGTCCTCTAAGCCATTTTGGGCACTTGTGGTGGTAAACGGAGTCCTAGCTTTCTATAGCTTGCTAGCAACAGTGGCTCTTTCTAACTGCTGGGTAAGAGAAACAGCATTGTTTTCATGTAACTTTTCTACTGTATATGCAATTGGACATATTCAAGAATTTTGCCTATGTGGCTTATTTTCTGTTGAACATGTGATTATTTTCTTTTTCCCTGCTAGGTTTCAGTAGGTTCTCTTTTAGCCTATCCAACTTTATCTGCGATAAAAATCTGATGTGAGTTTATGATTAGGTGGCTAGGCAGAGTAAGAGGCTAAACAGGTAAATAAGTGTGGGAGATAAATTAGGGTAGAAAATTACCTTTCTTCTCCCCACTTTGCAATGTCATTATGACATATAAAATAGCTCTAATATATATATATGTATAAAAATCTAAGCGACTTGGGAATCTAAGAAACTGAAGCCAATGAATAACTTTGGTTCGGGGTCAAAAATCATAAGAAATTTGTCTACTGAAATTATGCATTCAAACCTAGCAAGGAAACTAGGTCTGTTTATCTGAGTCATATTTTTATCTCCTCTGAAGCAGTTGAATTTTGTGAGGCCAAGTATGGTGCTGTCATTATGAAACTATAACAGGAGTTAGACTTTTCTGAGCTCTTACCACTGAATTGGAGTTTACGAACTTTTGCAAATGTTCATGCAATCAACTTGGTGTGTTTTTCTCTACCTTCTTCAACGTTGAAGTTTTGGCCTAGATTTGAATGCATATTGATAACCATATCTACTGTGAGGCAGGGACCTCCTTATTTTCTCTCCTTTCTCTTACTCAGGAACTTCCAGTTCTTATGTACACAGTGTGGCACTGATACCATATTGTCTTTGAATTTTTTTCTAGAAGTTAGATTCATGTATGCATCATTTCCTCAACAGGATATGTATGCTTCTCAAGGATATAGGACTATTTCTCTTGACATTCACCATCCATCTGGTATTAAGTACATTTAGCTTAGTGCTTAAAGAATGCTTAGGAACTGATGAATTGATAACCCCCTCTAACTGATAGAGGCCAAACTAAGGACTTAAATGAGTATGCCTGAAGTATCATACTTATCTTTAAGGCATATTCCATACATCCAACTAATTCATACATGGATCAGTGATTTCTGGAAGCCATGCCATGTTGAAGCCATCCTATTTACTATAGCCTTGGTGCTGGGCAGGGTCGGGGTGGAGGAGGAAGAGAGCCCTGGGTTCACAGTCATGCCAAGGATAGATTCAGCCTGGGATCCTTTTAAACTCTTGTCGGCCTATTGCCAAAGTTTGCCTCTCCCTTGTTCCCCAAATGCTACTCCCATTTTGGGAGACTAGGGGGCAGATGGATGCTTGTCAGGCTGCCTGTTGCCTAATCTGTACCTCCAACAAAATCTGTAACCACCAAAGTGGCTGCTTGTTCCTGGAAACCTTTATATCAGATCATGAGAATTTGCCTATCTTGCCTTCTTCAAGTTACCCAACCCTGATGGGGGCTTCTGATGTAGTGAAATATTGCCTAAGTTCTTCCTCTGGTGTCAGTCGAGTCTGGATCTTGGTGTCTTCATCCTAGTTACCTTTCATCTTTGAACCTCTGTGGAGTTTGCCAATAACATTAGAATTTAGGCTCCGGACGCGCAGGCTCAGCGGCCATGGCTCACGGGCCCAGCCGCTCCGTGGCATGTGGGATCTTCCCGGACCGGGGCACGAACCCGCGTCCCCTGCATCAGCAGGCGGACTCTCAACCACTGAGCCACCAGGGAAGCCCTCAGTTCTTGTTTTTATCTTGATCCCCTTGGAATATCAACTTCTTAATCTAAACGCCAGGTGCAGTGCCTTTTGGGGTACATTTCCAGGACAGGTGCTCCCCTGTAGTATGCTGACCTAAGTCGATGTACTTTACCAGCTTTGTAAGAAGGAGTTTTGGAAAACTGTTTTAACTTTCAGTGGCCAGAAGGGTACTGCTCACCATTGAAAACTTATTGTCGATATACACTAGAATATCAATTACTATAAGCAGGTACTAGTTTGCTAAGTGACTCGAATTACCCAAAGGGGCAAAAGTAGCTTCTATTTTTAATGAGTTAAAAAAGTTTACTTTTAAATTGGAAACATCATAAATGCAATATGTTTTTCTTTGGCAGCACTACTAATTCCTAGTGAGGTTCATCTTCCTTTGTCTTGAGAAAACTTATTTTGGTCTTATTCTGTCTCATGAGCTCCCTGAAAATTGGGAAGTCCCAGTGCTTGGCATACCATATCTTCTTCTGTGGCCTCTTGTGGTTAATTAGGTTACCCAATAAGAAGTACTCTTTATTTGCATCTCAAACATAGGTCTTTTTACTCTCTGACCAAAAGGGTGTGAAATAAATATATATGTATATTTCATAGAATAACAGAGCATTTTTACCCAGGGCTCATCTTTTCCGGATACTGTTTAAGCAACTTGCTGAGATAGGCAGCCAGGTCATCAGGGATCCATCCCTAGAGTTTAGCCATTTCCAGGGTACTTTTCTGGGATCCTATTTTTGGCTGGTCTGCATTGTGCCTTCGTGTAAGATGCTGTTTTCTGGAACTTCCTGAGGGTCTGTGATGTACTGCTGTAGGCAGTTCTAGGCTGAGTGGGTTTCTGGGAACAGCTGCAGATTCTATCTCAGTTCTTGACCTGTAGCTGACATTTGAATAAAGAGAGAGCTCCCCTCTGCCAGGCAGCCACAGACCAGCACCTGTCACTCTCACTCAATCCTCAGTTCACTCCGTTGAGATGGTAAACCCATTCTGCTTCTTAGTCTAAAGGAGCCTTTAAAAAGCGCAGTTTTCTCCACTATAAATCACACTGTGGGGAATGTGGATACTGTGTGTACAGGTAGTACCTGCCTTTAAATCCAGTGGGTTCTTGAAGACCATATCTTTTTTTTTTTTTTTTTTTTTTTTTTT